ACTGCCAACTCTTGAGCCACGATCCATAATATAAGCAAGTAAAATTTCTAGTTTATACATTTTCTTTTTCTCTTGTGTTTTGTCATTCTTTCATTCTTGTAAATCTCTGGAAAGTGTTTTTTCTCTGCCTTTTCCATGGAAATACAGCAACTGTACATTTAGCTACCAAAGCATAATGTGTTACAAACTGCTTAGAAGAAAAAAACACTTTATGTTTGGCAATATTTGTTTAGCTGATTGAATTGATGCACCTAAAATTACCTGCTACATGAGAAGAGATAATCTGTTTATGCTCACTCCTCCTCGGTAGCACTAGAGAGATACTTATGAACCACAAACCCAACTTTGAGATCCTCACCATGAACACATCACAGAAACGAGTACAAAAACAGGATGTGTTGAGGGTGTAAGTGGGGCTGTTGGATGTCATTGTTTTCTTATTACTGAGTATCTCCATGCTGTCACCTGGAAGCAATATTAGGCAGCATGTGTCAACCTGCCTGTCAGATTGAATTTCTTAATTGGTTTAACCTCGGCTGAAGTGTTTGTGGACTTTTTCATGTATTCACATAGTGCATGACTATCGTGCATGACAAAACTACACCTTATGTACAAATTAGTTGTCACAAAATATTCACACCTAGTGTCGGCCTGGTATAACGTTTGTGTTACTGAGGCAGCATGCTCGTGTATCAACCTTTAATTCTTTTGGTGTCATGCACTTTGAACAGGGTGAAGTCATGTATTGAACTGACTTGCAGGTCCATTATTCTATTTTGCTTTTGCTAAATAGTTGTGGAAAGTTAACGTTTCCATTGTCAGTCAGCTCCTGCTGTGCAGGTCAGTGTGGTGAAAGACTGTCTTATCACTTGTGAACAGAATTAGTAATAGCAGAGCGCTCTAGATTCATACCGGTTGTTTTTTATCCCATTTTTTGGAAATGATCTGTAATTCAGGTGGAGGCGGCACTCCTCTGAGACAGTCCTCAATGAAGGGTAATAAACAGGCAACATTATCATTTACACCTACTTTAATTTACACCTAATGTTTTATTTTAAGGATCACAAATAAAATGTATGTCTGATTTAAAATAAGTAAAACTTAAGTCTGTCCCTCCCTTGTGTTCACTTACTTTAGTGTTCCTGGTCACAATTGACCAGTCAGTTTTAACAGCTCTTAAATTAACATAAGAAACATTTTTCACCACCAAATTCAGTTCAGTGGGTTGGTCAATGGGTCATTCAGGGGGTCAGAGGCCAAAGGAGTGGGGTAGGGGGTGGATTCCCATCCATTTTCTATGGTGGTCCCTTTTGACTGGGAACACCACAAATGTAACAAAGTTGATTAAAACACTCAAAATTCAACAAAAGATGTGCTCATCAGTTTTATATGTTCAAGTGCATAGTGTGAAGGATGTCATAAGGTTGTTTTACATCATAAGATGTAAAACACAATATTTATGAGTTTTTTAAATTTGTAAATCGGTCAGATTTTGTCAGGGTCCTAGGTCTGAGCGACCCAGGATCCCTGCTAGGGGACTGGCCACACCCAAAGCCACACACCTGCTGATCAGGGCTTTGTTGGGGGAGCTACTTAGGAGAATCTTTGAGCTCCCACCGACGTGGGATCATTGTGTTAGACTCCCAAGTCAGTGTGTGGGGTTTAGTCTAGAAGGTGCAGATCGTGTGTGGCCGCAGGGGTCAGTGTCTAACGGCTGCTTCCATTGTTTCCCCGCAGGAGGAGCGTGGAGAGGAAGGACAGCACGCACAGGGTGTGCAGAGTCACGACAGCGGGGAGCACAAACACGGACGCCACTGGAAGACACACACGGGAGTCTTATGGAGCACGGGGATTAATCGTGCATCAGTATTTACCACACTGTAAATAAAGACACTGTCTACACACAGAGCTCCGCGCCTGGGTCCTTCTTTCCCTCACATCCCCACGGCTTGCCAGCCAGACCGCGACAGATTTGATGAACACGACAGGAAGGGTAGTAAAGCTTTGCAAAGAAAGTGCTAGCATTCTGTTAATGCAGCGCAAATTATTCCAGTAAGGCTTTACACATCTTCAATGACACCAAAATGTTTACCCCATAAAATGTATATTTGCGTGTTACAATTCCAAAGGCTTTGATTCTGACTCATACGTACACAAATCAGAGTTCTCCGCAATTAGAAATGACATTTTCTAATAATTAGCTTCACACTTGGTATCAGAAGCTCTAGCTCTCTTCCACAGTGTTTAATTGTCCTGTCTTCTTCCCCTGCCAACCAGTCATGGCACACTGCTCCCTGAGCCTGGTTCTAACAGAGGTTTCTTCCTGTTAAAAGGGAGTTTTTCCTTCCTGCTGTTTCCAAAGTGTTTTCTCATATGGATCATATGATTGTTTTCTCTATTTTCTCATCATAAATAATCACTAATAGTTTCTCTATTACTATCAATAAAATGCCGGTCTCCATTTCTTCTTCTGTGAAAAGTTTGGGTGTCATCCTTGACAGTACTCTAACTTAACTCTCCCATCAATAATGTCACTCGCTCTGCATATTTTCAGTTAACATTAACCGTCTCTGTCCCTTTCTCACACCACACTGCCATTCTTATTCAAAGCCTTGTTACGGATCGATTACTGTAATTCACTTTTTTCGGCCTTACTCAAAAATCCATCAATAAGCTTCAACGTGTCCAGAACTCTGCTGCCCGTATTATCACTTGGATTCCCTCTATTCACCACATCTCCCCGGTCCCGAAGCAGCTACACTGGCTTCTGGTCAAATATCGCATCAGTTTTAAAATAGTTCTGTATACATTCAAGGCTATTCATGTCCTCCCCCCCCCTTCATATCTCTATGTTTTGGTTCAGATCACAATCCCATCTCGGTGTCTTAGATCTTCTTCTACTCTTTCTCTCACCGTTTATTCCCCTTGTCACTATGGGGGGCAGGGACTTCAGTTGCTCTGCTCCTCGACTTTGGAAATCTCTACTTCCTGATTTGAGAAATATCACCTCATTTTCTCGACTCAAAACTCACCCGTTCAAAATAGCTT